GAGAGAGAGAGAGAGAGAGAGAGAGAGGCGACAGTTATCCAGCCCAAAAATATACCGGATGCGCTAGAACCCTACAAAAAACTCCTAAACCCCCAGAGTTGCCGAAATCAGGTGGTCGTCGGTGTTTCGGCGCGATAGGCCTCTTCCGGAAAATTCTTCACGTGCAGAAAAATCAGCGGCATTAGCGAAGGGAATCGAGAAATGAGATGGGGTGGATAGTGAGTGTGGAATGTGGGATCGGTTGTTGCTTATTCGATTACCCGCATAAGGAAGGGAACGAGGCACACGCCCTCTCACTCCTTCACAAACCCTTTAATCTAAACAGACAAGAAGGAGAAGGAGATGCAATGAAATGAACACTACGAAATGCTGGAAATAGATCTTGGCTGTTTTGGGGGGTGTACTGTACCTGGAGGTGAGGCTATGGTAGTTTTTAGAAGCGCTAAGGCTCAGTTCTTTGTAGTGTTCCGTTAGAAGCGTAGAGCGAGGGAGAGAGAGAGCGGGAGAGAGGGAGAGCTAGAGAGTGAGAGAGAGAGAGAGAGAGAGAGAGAGAGAGAGAGAGAACACAGAGAGCAATACCTAAGGCTGACGCCCACGGCAAGCGATAAATAGCCTTTCGAAGCGTCCGCAAAAAAATACCGTAACCAACGCGTAATTTTTCAGAATTTCTGACTTACCTGAGCATGCGCTAGCAGCTAAATTCCCTTATTCCGAATTTTCGAAAATCCCGACCCATAGAGCCCGAAATCAACGCGCATAATAGTTAAGGGAGAGCGACTCTTCAGGGTTGCTGATTGTCACTTTCCTTTAGACTCCTATCAACGGACTGACAGGGTGGGGAGACAACCCATTGTGACAGTCTGTTTATTCACCAGTCTCGACGCAGTTTGAGTGGGAGCAGATACCGTAATTGGTGGGTACAGGAGGGGAAACGCCCTGCCGGTCATCGAGCCTGGGAATGAGCACGAGATTTGGGGTACCTAGCAGAATTTTCAAGGATTTTGGGAGTTTTGGGGGGACTAAAAAGGGTAAACCGGTACCGATCTTTTGTGTATTTTTAGAAGGACAAGCTGAGTGAAATCGATCCAGAATCTAGGCAAGCAAGCAGAGACAATTTAGGAAAGCTCTGGAAGCTTGATTAAAGACCTAGCATGGAAAATTCAGGATTTTTAGGTTCTGCAAACGTTTAAAAATGAATGTAAGCACCTTTCAACAAAAGTTGAGCAAAGAGAGAGGGCGAGAGAAAGCGAAAACGAGAAAGAGAGAGAGGAGAGAGAGAGAGACTTGTTTAGGCATTTTTCCCGATTTTCGAAGGTTCCAAGCTTTGAAAAATCTTATAAAACCAGGTCAGCCGGCAGAGACCCTTTAGGAAACCCTCAACAAGTTTTAAACCTCGAAAAAAGAAGTTACAACGTTCCGGGCCTTCTGAGAGAGACCGGGAAAGGGAGAGTACGGACCCCCGGATTGCGTTACAGGGGAGACTGCAGTGGTGGACTGGATGGGAGCACAGCCCGAGAAATACGAGACAACACCCCGCAACGTCCCTTAGGGCCCACATCCACCACTACCAACTTTTCTCTCTACAGCCAGTCTACTGGCAATACCTAGCATTGTAAGCGGATGGGACGGGGCAAATAGAGGAGGGTACTCGCGAAAGAAAGCACCGATTTCGAGGGGTTATGGAATTATTTGGTCTGTATTAAGAGTGAGAGAGAGAGCGAGAGAGAGAGAGAGAGAGAGAGAGAGAGAGAGAGAGAGAGGGAGAGAGAGAGATAGGAACGCCTGAAAACTATAACAAAACCAATTCCTGAACTCAATCGCCGCGAACAAAAATTGTTTTCCAGCCCTCCGGCGGGTTGACCGATCGCATGATGGATGGGTGTAAGCGGGAGGGCAAACTGTCATGTTGCTGTGGGGGAAGTGGCAAGTTCAAAAAGATTTCAAAAGGATAAACGAGAAGCCTAAGGTAAGCCTAAACCTAAACCAAATGAAAGCCTAAGCCTAAACCTAAGCCTAAGCATTAACCCTGACATTTGTCACCGTCCCTTTAAACCCAAATTTCCATAATACATCGTCAAAACCCGTCCCGTAAAGAGTAGTAATGCGTAGCCGGAGTGACCACTCAAGGCAGGATGTGGCAAAGCTGGCAAGGGAAAAGCCGTGGGAACCCGGGGGCTGGTTGCAGAGTTGAGAGGAGGCGAGTCGGCTATGACTTGATTGGCAGGTCAGTATGTGCCCTCAGGGCATGACGGGGCCAAGATTGGGGGGATAGTGGCCACTGGGCCATCACTTGGCCACAACCACAGCATGTGAGTGGATTGGCAGATAGGAGGGGAACTTGATGGTAGAACCTTCCGTGTGGGTTGGGCCTAAATGGGTACTGCTAGCTTGCCTTGGAGAGGAGAGAGAGAGAGAGAGAGAGAGAGAGAGAGAGCGACTTCTTCAATGTTTAACGTTTAACAAAAATCATGGCAGCCATCCAATCGAGGTCAAGAGTCCTCCATCCCAAAATGAAGAGTGACCCCTGGCTGTCATTCTCCCGAACCTATAGCAAATGGGTGTGGACCGACGAGAACAACGTGTTCATGACCCCCCGGCTGTGAACAATACGCACATTAGCGCCATCTCAAAGGACCAGAGCCCTCGCTGGCCCGAACCGAGGCCCAGAATATTTGCCAACGAGCCTGACAAAGTAAAGTGTGACAAAAGGGTGACACGACTGTGCTATTTGGAAACACCCCCCCACGGCAGGATAGCAGAAATTCTCGAGGAATTTTTCTAGGTATTTAGGGACATTGCCAATCAAAAAGCTACCCGGCAGCGTGCAGATGCTAGCCGCGAGCATTTAGTTTTTTTTTTCCTGTTAATTAAACGCGTCCCAACCCAGACATGTCGGCAGAAAGTCGTGAGAATGCTAGCAGAGGTCGGTCGACAAAGATACTGTCCAATTAAAGATGTCCGTAACCAAGAAAGGTCGTGTTGTGGTGTCAGCTTTGCTGGACCACATTAGATCCTCTTTCCCGGCTGTCCCTCCTATCCAGTGGGTAAGCCACCGGCGCGCGCCCCCCTGCGGTCGCGTCGCGTGCGCCACTCCCCGCCTATGACTAGATTGTATTATCTCGTTGCGGGTCCACTTATCGGCACAGACTAGCTCTGTTGCCGATCCTCCTGCCACCATTTATGTAGATAAACAGTTGTTCGATAACTGTACGTTTGTGCGCATTCCACTTCATTCCAAGAACACAACAACTGGCGAGCAGGATCAAGAACTCACGCAAGATCAAGGGATGCCCCAGCCAAGAAGCCACTCGAGCCCGAAAACGTGATCAAGGATGAAGAAAGAAGGTGGAGAAGCGCGAGAAGTCAAGTCAAGCCGACGAGACAAGGACCAAGAAAGCGACAAGGTCAAGGAGAGCGACAAGGTCGAGGTCAGGGACGTCTACATGGTTGGCAAGCGACAAGAAAGAAGGCATGGCGAGAAGATCAAGGAGCAGAGCGTGCTGATGCCGGCGGGCCCATCGATGGATGATGTGCCGGTGCCGCTCGTGCAGGATCAATGGAAAGGGAGGTGTTTTTTCCCCTTTTTGCCCCCACATTTCCGGGTGGAGGGCACGCTGCCGTTGTCGAAGAAGGAGGAGGGTGCAAGTGCCTGAAGTGCCCGGCGACCGGCCGCCGTTTTGCCCCAAGGACCGCCACAAGCCGCGAAGGTAGCAGAAGATGAGGAAGTTGGTTAGTCCTCATCCACGAAAGGACCGAAGGAGGTGCGCGTGTCAAGCCCAAGGCCGCGTCTACAAGTGAAGCCGAAGAAGGAAAGAAGGAAAAGAAGGTCGACAAGAAGGAGGACGTGATGTGAAGGCGATGAAGGTGAAGGATGGACGTTGTCGGTGATCGCCTCGCTGCGCGTCATCAAGGAGTGAAGGAATAAGCAGATAATTTTTTCTTGAACTTTATTGTGCTTTTCACTCGATTCCTATCCCGGTCCCTCCAATCTACACTTGTTTTTTGTGTAAGGGGAGGTGTTGTGGGGCCAGCTCGCTGGACCACATTAGACTCCGCCTATCTCATGTTCCACCTGTCCCAATTTCTCCTAGGAATTCGTACTTTGTTTTGTACAAGGGGAGGTGTTGTGGTGTCAGCTTTGCTGGACCACATTAGATCCTCTTTCCCGGCTGTCCCTCCTATCCAGTGGGTAAGCCACCGGCGCGCGCCCCCCTGCGGTCGCGTCGCGTGCGCCACTCCCCGCCTATGACTAGATTGTATTATCTCGTTGCGGGTCCACTTATCGGCACAGACTAGCTCTGTTGCCGATCCTCCTGCCACCATTTATGTAGATAAACAGTTGTTCGTAAACTGTACGTCCGTGCGCATTCTACTTCATTCCAAGAACACAACTAGGCTAGAAGAGACCCTTCAGGTAACTATCTGGACGCTTCAAGATAGCGATAACAAAGAACAGCCGACAATACGATGCGAGCATGCTAGGAGAGAGCGATTAGGACATTTTCTAAAACCAAAGCTAGTTGTATCCGAGATGATCCCCAAGAACATGTGGCCATGCTAGCTGAGGTTCCTTTAGAGTAACCGCGATCGCATACGGCATTCGGTATTTTAGAGAGGAGCCACAATCTGGTGAGCACCAACAATCCCAAACCACTCTTGGCTGTTTCGAGGTGTCCAGAGCAATTAGCAGAAGAGCCTGCCCCCATAGCGAATCGGCACGCCTGATGGCATGGTATTGTGGGGGGGAGGGGGAGGGGAGTGCGTTGCGCAATCCCCTCCACCAAATAGCCCATAATTACAAAAAGGGAGGCAGCAGGGCCCGGGTTAGGGCCCAAAAATTCGGGAGTCCAAATCTGATCCAATCAAGCTGACGTCAGAAAAATCACCTCTCCCTGCTCCAACTCGATCCCAGATGTCGATTTTCAATGCATTGTGTCATTTGTGGAATGTTTATTGAAGGTGAGTGCCATTAGAAGAGGGCGATAAATACAGAGTGATCAATCCTGGTCGACGACGCGCGTCTCCTCGATCGGGGTGATCATGTAGGGACCGGTGGAGGAGCCTAAAAGGCATGTAAAATGGAGCTTCAACTAAAATTCGAAGGCATACAACCCAACGTAAGATACGGATGCTCACCCGTGTCCGCGAATATTTTCTTCAGATCCAGTGGAGGCAACCGATTCGCTGGCGTCAGCAGCTCGTTGACCGTCTCGACGCAGGGCACAATTTCCTCGAGTAGAATCTAAAACAGACTATTTCAAGGTCAAAATTCTCACCTGGATCCTAACAACCTCGTCCCTGAGTTGCGTGACCTGGGCGAGAGAAGCCCTGAGCCGGTCGTACTTTTTCTTCCGCTCGACAAGCTTTGCAGCAATGGTAGCGGAGGCCACGTCGGCCTAAAGTATGAGTTGTAACCGAATAAAGCGTCCAATTACCGTCTTGATTCCCTGAGTAATTTTTGCTTGTTGAAGGCATATAGTCTGGGCTTGGGTGTGAAGATGGGATTGGAGTCGCACGGAAAGTCGCCAGATTGGTCTAAAAATCAAAAAATGATTTATATGGATTTTTTTTCAGACCTGTGCGATAAACGATCCAAGTTTTCGTTGGGCACAGCTTGACGGCCGGCCGGCACCGCGGTTCGTAGAATTGGTAGAAATCGAGGTATATCCTAGATGGGCATTATCAGTACTCTAATGTTCTTCTTACCATTAAACGTTTATAATCCGCATCCTCGCGAGGGTCGATTTGCTTGATTTGACCGTCGGAGACCTTGACGATACCGCCCGGCTTCTTGACGCTAGCTAAAAACATACTATTCGAAAATCCGCGTAAATTACCTCTATTGGATAAGAAAGAAAATGAAGTAGATTGTGAAGATCCGGCGGCTGATTGTTCGTTACCCATTATAGCAAAAGTGACGAGTTGGCGTTAGCTAAATGGAAAACTAGACTATACGTATTAATGCGCGACGAGAAAGAGATCGATACGCTTGTATCGGTCCTGCACTAATGGCCGAGTTAAAAAAATCGTTCAAAACTATACCTGAACCAAATAGGCCGCTCACATACGAATAAGCCCGATGGCTGCGTCAGTCCAGCGGAACGCGGCGTCGGTTTGAGTGTCCTAAAGCGAAATTTGGGCCAATAACATACTGCAAACCTTATTCGCTAGCGTTGCGGGCAGGGCGTCCGCGTCCGGATCGGGGATATGTTCGCGGGGGATTTTGATCGATTCCTTCGGCAACTTCTGACTCACCCAATTCGGGTCAACGAAGCTGAAGTCTGCGTCCCACTAAAACAATTAAACATAAAGCCAAATAAGTAAACCTCAATCAGCGACGGGACTTCTCCTTCACAGCTCATCTACCCGCAAAAACAAAATTCTGAAAAGGTTCCGCTAAACTCAAAGATTGGTCCAATCGTTCACGATATTCAGGTTAAAACCAAGACTAAATAAGTTCTGAAAAGACCAAGATCTTCATAATCCATTTATCCGTATTGCGCAACTGACAAATTATGCAAAAAGTGAAGGGTTATCACAAACTTATTGGGTGAGGTCGACTAATGGAACATCACAGGAAAACCGGGGGAAAAGGAAAAGTGAATTGAATGCATGTTCAGATTTTGCTTTGGCCCAGTTCTTCGTTGAGTGGCACGAGTTCGGGTTGATCAAATCTAAAAAAAACGATAATTAGAAATAAAACAATCGTACCGCAGGGTCATAAAGTTTCCGGGGTCCTTGGTGAAACCGTTGAGGCCGTAGAAGCGCACCAGCTCGTCCTTGCACTCCAGCGACATCTTGTAGACACCAAACTAAAAATTACGAATAAAACAGCTTACACCGGGTTAAATACCTGTTTTCCGAGCGCCACCAGCGTCTTTATGAGAAGAGCGCCGAACTTGCGGCCGCGCATCTTGTGGTGAATAACGACATCTTCGATCCGCCCTCTCGCGCCGGCCTCGTGGATGAACTTCCACTCGAGCACCAACGTTGCCGCGCCGACGACTTTGTTTGTGCTGCAAAGAAATATGAACCAGCAAAGAAATATCGAATACCTTTCATCTTCAATGACGACGACGTAGTAACTCTGCGGCTGGCTCATCGACCGGAAGCGGGTGAGGAATGATTCTTCGGTGATTTGGCCGACGGATGTGAGCTGGGCAAGCAGGTCGAGGAATCTAAAAACAAGAGATGCGAAATTGAAATGAATGAAATACCCCTTGTCGTAGTCCTTTTCGTTGAGTGGGCGGATGCGAAAGCCCTGCTCGACGGCGGCAATTTCTTCTTGAGGCAGCAGGAGTGGGGAGAACATTTGACCTAGAATTCAAGCTTTAAAATAATTAAATTGAGTACCTTCTTCACCGCTATCCGGATTCGACGCGCCAGCAAGCTTCACGGTGGGAGGAAGAAGGACCATCTAAACGAAAATTTAGATGATTTACGAATGTAGAGAAGGCAAAAAATCGAATCAATAAAGAGGCATCGAGCAAGGCAATAAGCCATAATCAAAGCGGCAATCGAAAATAGAGATACCGTTTATTGTCAAACTAAACCCACATTTACAAATTGCAAAGACTATTATGCCAACGAAAGCCAGAGATTTTCATAGCAGGGAACCCGGTTTTTCGAGAAAAGCTGTAATTGGAAGGCAAATAAATAGAATTCAGCACACGGACTATTCTGACCCAAAACCATAAATTAAAAAAAGATACACCGCAAATTGGCGAGTAAAGACAAAAAAAAGAAAATCCAAGTGTAAAATAGAAAGCAAGAAAATTGATTCCGCGATGCACCGTATCTTTGTCGTAAAGCGGAACGTCGCGTAACCGTTCAAATTTTTACTTTTGGATTGCAATCAAGCTTTTTCTAAGCTTTTTAAGATTCTGTTCTTTAATTGAAAATTAATATACTTTTAATGCTATTTGTTTGGGGATAGAAATTAGGGGTGCAAAGCGGAATCAATTATTCAGAGCGGGATACAAAAAGACGAATAAATACAAAGATTTAACGTGAAGTTTCAGACATTTGTTGCCGGGCCCATGTCACCAAACAAGAAGACGTCGTTTTGGATCTGCAAATGAGTGTTTTATTTCTTTTCTCTAGCGTATTTTGTGTTGAAACCGGTGGCCAGACAGGATAGGGTGTTCTGAGAAGTACAAAACAACGACAAGCTCACCAAATCGATACGGTTGATAGTCTCTGAATCGGCTATATTCAAGCAAACTTTTTCGAGGGGATAACATTTTAGTAAAATGACTTACAGAGCTAACGATGTCGGCATCACCGCAACGGTCGCGAAGCCTCGGCGTTGAGCCGAGAATCGTGGCCATGCGCTTGCTGAACTCGTCGTAGTTTCGTTGGAGTTCGGTCTGGAATGATTTTTTATTTTTTGTTAGGTTTTACGCTTGTTTCAGTCAGATTTTTACTAGTTTAGAGCGCTGATTCTACCTGATATGCCGCTTGATCGGCTTGGATGAGCTGCTTGTTGATGATCAGGGCGTCCGAGCATTTTTTGCTAAAATTCTGGGCGTTTTTTGGGGGTTGTACTGTACCTAAAATCGCGGAAGCATAAGCGTAGCTTATTTTGGAGGCGATCCAGCGGTTTCCCGCGGTCGTCGAGGGCACAATCGGCCAGGAAGACGTTGGCGACCTAGAGGGAAAGATTTCAATCTATTTTTTTTGACGGATTTGACGAATTTAATGTTGATTCTAGGTACCTGTAGCGGTCCCTGGTTGACCTGAGTGCCGATGCAGCCCTGGACGACCATTTGCAGCATTTTGGCGTCTGGTGGCGATTGGGCCATTGCTGCGCCGAGTTCGCGCGTCTAGATTTGATTGTTTACAGGCCAGTTAGTTTTGTTAAAAGTTTTTTTGGATGTGAAGCGGGGGTTTCGGTTTAATTTGGACAAGAAAATAGTGGGTTTTCTTATTTGATTCCGACATAAAAAATATGATTTTGCCTTTAATTGAGTAGTAAACGAATTTTGACGTTTTAGTAAAAAAGTTATTTTGGGAATGGGGCCGGGAAAAGATGTCTTTGCTTGGGTTTCGCCGGAATTTCTGTAGAAATTACTTTTTATTTAGATTTTAGTTACTCGACAAACCTTTCTTTCGATATCCTCAATAGCCACTTCGATCGGCGTCAGAACTTTCTGCTCCTTTTCAATGACCTTGATCCTCGATTTGAGGTAGGGGAAGCTGAAAATCAAGGTTTTAGGTATCAGAGTCTTCTATATTAGGACACGTCGCAGGTTAGAGGTAACGAAAACAGCTTTTTAACGCGGTAATTTCTTGCTACCTCAATGATCGATAGGCAACCTACGCATTTTGTGTCGTAAGAATCGTCCTTCTCTTGTATTGGTCCTTCAGATCGCCGTGCGCCTTTCCGTCTCGGGTGAACGGAGTCGCGAAAATGAATCTGAGATTGTATGTTTTTAGGTTTTTTATCAGTTCCATATAGTCTACCGCTTCAAATTGTTGCCCCTTTCGTAGTGGGTCGGGCGGTGGCGCTTTTCCCATTTCTCAAAGTACGGCTCGACGTAGGTGATTTGCAGATAGGCTTTCGAGGAATTGTGTGACGTGCGGACGACCTGGAAATCGTTGTTTAGCACAATTTCCTAGTTTTTAATGCCTAGAACCAGGTTCTTTCAACTTACATTGTTGCTATCTTTTATAACTTCAACTAGCCCGTGGCCAAAGCGATCCGAGTAGAAGTTTTCGAGGCGTGACGAAATTTCGGAAAGCTTTGTGAATGGGGGCTCCTAAAAAGTTTTATGCTGTATCAATAAAGATAGTTAGAATAAGACATTTTTACAGATTTTTAAAGGCTACCTTGTAGACGTACTCCTCGCCGTCGAGGTCCCCAAACTTTGCGCCGTAGAAGCCGACGCGGAAGTAGGTGCCGAAGCAGCGTTTGTCCACGCTAAAAATTCGCCTTTTTGATAAAATTACAGAAAGTATTTCTAAGCTGTTTTTTAACTTCTCATAAGCGTAAAGCCGTTACAAAAAAATTGTCAAAAAAATGCAAAAATCGATTTTCGACGAGAATTCCAGTTTTTTAAGCGGATTTAAACGTTTCTAGGTAGGTTTTCAAACTGAAATATTGCCAAGCCATGCTATCAAGTCTTATAACGTTTAAAAAAAGGTCCTCACCTGGCTAGCGGACTTCCCCACATGTCCGATGCGTTGTCGAGGATGCTCACCGTCGGCTCGATTCGGGCAAGGGCCGCTTGAAAAGATTTTGTATTTTGTAGTAGTACAAGTTTGGGGACAATTTTATTAAGATATTTTAATACCTGAGAGCCTAGAGTGCATTGATGAAAGCTTTGCAAAGTCGCGCCATTCCCAGATGATCTTTTCGATTATCTAAAGCAATAATTTTTTAGTAGATTGTAATGTTACGTCTTTTATAGCACGGAAAGGCCATAATTTTATAGTTTGCAGTTTCTAGCCTCCACCTACCTTGTAAAGATGTGGCAGTGATTCGTAGAGCATTGCTTTTTCCAGCAGACTTGCTCCCCTCTCGATCAGATGCACGAGGCCCTCGGCGGAAAAGTGCTTCGACTCGCAAATGCCCTCCACTTCCGGGCTATATTTTAAGGTATTTTAAGCTCAGACTTAGCTTCAGATTTAGGCTTGGGCTTCGGCTAAGTAAAAATTTGTGTACCTTAAAACATCGTCAGAAACGGCGCACTCCTCGAGGATGTTCTCACTGATTTGTGAGAAATCGACAGCTCCGCGGGGGAAATATCTGAAAATATAAATAAAAACCGTTAGAGGTAGTGCAAAAATCGACCCCCCCCCCCCCCGCTCGACTGGGTCTCGACAACTACACGGCACGCCAAAATACGCGTGTTCTGTATCGATTTTTGGCTTTACGTCCGACAAGGCTATCAAAATGGTGTTTTTGTATTTTTTGACGTAGCTGTCGAGACCTAGTGATATTAGGAGTGGATTTTCGGACTTGATAGTGCCTTTAAAGGCAGATTAAAGGCAGGAAAGGAAAAAAAAACATCGAAAACTTACTCCTCGGTATGCGTCATGGCCAGATACTCGGCGACGAGGGCGGCGGCATGGATCACGCACAGCGCGGCTTCTGAACAAGTTTTTTGCATGAGTAAAAATCTTTATAAACTGGAAATTCTATCGATTTATCGTGATAAATATATTTCGATGTAAAATAGCATTAAAAATGACATAAAAATACTTACCAGCATGTACGGCAGCATCCGCTTGTCTCGAGGCCATATTTAGCAGCCAAGTTACTCTAAAATATGACTTATTTGACCCAGAACTACAATATTATCACGTAATAGAATTTTATAAAAACGTTGCAACCATTTATGCAAGCTAGCAAAGGTTCTTTCGGAAATCGGACTAAAAACCGGGCCCACCTGAGGTCCGGGTTATTCTGGTACCCCTTCGCCACCCGATACATCAAGTCTATCGTCATGTGGAAGTCGTTCGCAAACTCCTTCATCTTGACGGTATCCGACAGGATTGTGTGCAGATTGAAAACCAGGTCTTTCACCTGAAAAAGTGATGTTAGGTATCTATTTTTTACATTAAAAAGTATCAAAAAAGGGTGCCAAGCAACCGAAACTTTCAGTAAAACCCCAAAAAGGATTTGGCCGTCATTATGGTGCTTGTCATCATAAACGATCAAGAGTAGCAAATATTATTTCGTAATCATATGGCCTGGGCGGGGTATGTGGCTGTCACGGGCGGGGGTCGAACCCGGGACGCGCGGGGCGACAGGCCGACACGCTAGCCACTAGACCGCCGATGGGGCGTGGCAGAGATGTGGGGAGGGGCTGTGAGGGGGGTGCGGCTGCCACAAGGCCGGGTGGTCAGCCCCAAAAAACTTTTCTAATTTTTATAAAAGTTTTAATAATCAATTTTGATAAATTATAATAGGTCTAATACATCAGAAAAATTTGTAGAGGATTTCGGCTATAAATTTAGCTAGTTTTAACTATTTTTAAGATAATTAAGTGTAATTTTCAGGCATCGGACGAATAATTAAAGCATTTTAAGCGATTATAAGATCTTTAGTTGATAAAATTTAGCTCCTCATAAAAACAAAGCGTTAATGGAGTACCGTGGCTGCGGATTTAGGCTTTTTAAGGTTAAAAATGCACTTTCCGAGTCATAAAATCTCTAAAACGATTTTTAGTGGTTTACAGACTAAATCATACTCAAAAACACTACTACTCAAATTTAGCAACTACATAACAATTCTAACATAATTTTTTCTAGATTTTAAACATTGAAAACCCTCTCTTCAAGCATCCGAAAACGTTTGAAAAATTTAAAAAGAAACCAAAAGAAATTTAATAAAATTTCGTAATACTAAGCGATACCTGATCGCAAAAATTGCTTCCGGTCCTGGTGTAGGGGTCGGAATTCTCTTGATCC